CTACGTCACGTAACGGCAACAAAAACATGAACAAACACTGAATGATTGTCTTTTTATTAACTAACATTGACACAGATTAATAAATGTATTGTTCCATGTTCGTTTGTATACCGCGCGCAAGGTTTATGCGCATAGTCCAAGTCTTCTTCTCCATTTTTAGTGTATCTCTGTGGCAGAATTGCAGCGCCACATACTGGTCTGGCATGTATACTACATCGTTTTGTGTCGGTTTTGTGGTTTCGTGTGGATGCATATATTTCTTAAGACGAGGGAAAAAAAAGGATCAGATAGGGAAAGCTCTAGCTCCGTGTGGACGCAGCCTAAGACAGGCAGGTGAAACACCATCTGGGCCTGAAGCTTTTCTAGACTTCTGCTTCCTGAAGACCCGGTTCCCTTTATTGCTGTGTAACAGTGATCCAATATATTACTGTCTCTGGCGCGACATGTAACGTGCTGTCTGTATAAATAGATAAAAATAAATAAGTAAAAAAGAGTGGGAAAGCATGTAAACATTTGAAATGGGTCATTATCATGGCGGCAGCAGCAGGTATGCAGTACAATTTTAAAATATTGTATACAATTATTTACATATAAATATAAACCAAACTGCTTTGTTTACCTTATGTAAATAAGAGGTTGCATAAACTTATATCTGCTAATTTCCACAGATTTAATGACATCCATTATTTTTACAGATAGAATGCAAGACAGAAACCATTTCAACTGTAGTGCTTCTATATTTCTATTTTTAAAACATGAGATTTAAGTAATCAAATAATAAATAGAATGTTATTTTCCTTTTATTAAATTAAGTATGACTACAATGCATTGCTCACATGGTCAGTTTGCTGTTTTTTTTCTATTTCAGAATTGTGGTGTTGCTAATTTGAAATGAAGCCTCATTTTTGCGGCTGGTTTTGGAGTCTCAGTCTTCCTCCGTTCATGCAGATGATCTGAGCTCAGCAGGAGTCTGATGTGACGTTGCAGAGCTGCTGTAGACCTGCATTGATCGTCTCCTGCTGTTCTTCAGACAGAGATCAATCAAACCAGATCAATGCAGAGTGAAACTTCACCTGATCACTGTGATTGACGTGTCTGATCTGCTGTCAGATTTTGAACGTGCTGGATGATCGTCCGCTGACGCCGCGGGTGTTTTCAAGGTCTGTGATTGTTCTCGTATCTAAAGACTGTCACTCGACCTCTTCGGTCTCAGTGTTTACGTGGAGTTATGACTTCATGCCCTCTCTCTCTCTCTCTCTCTCTCTCTGTGTGTCAGTGTCTCTCATCCTCAGCTGTTTTCTTCTCTTCTGTGCTCTCGTGTTTCTTCAGCTCTGGCAGAGAATAATGTCTCTAAATGTCAGGCGCCTTTTATTAAGATCAAAACGCCTCTGAAGGTGTTTGTCCGGCTGTCAGACGGTGTGTGTGTGTGTGTTTGTGAGATAGTCTGTATTTTCTGGAATCACATGCGTCAGGAATCACACTCAGGCGGATAGGTTAGTCTCCTCTGGACTAGTTTGTAAAGTGATGATAATAACAGACTGCAGTGGAGGATTTAATTCAGATAATGGCCTGACAGTGTCTGTGAATGGGAAAGGTATTCAAGTATTCAGCGGATCAGTGCATCTCTGTCTTTCATCTCTGTG